AAAAAAAAAAAAAAAAAGCAAGCAAGCAACCCTGCTCTGTCATGCATTCCAAAAGGCTCTACAGAGAAAGCAGGAGAGATTGTGGCTGAACATTCCCAACTCCTACGCCTCCTTCCCCTCCACCCAAATTGTGTAACTTAAAAAGCTTGTGTTATATACACTAAAAAAAAAAAGGGAAGAAGCCTAATTTGCCCTCTAGGTCACCTTTATGAAGAAGCCAAAAGCTGTGTAATTGCAGTTTATGCCATTTGTGATGGCTTCCTACAGTTTGGAGACTAAACAGCTGCAGGTTGAGACTCTCCCTCCTGCAGCCCGTTGTCTCAGATGCGATCAGCATGAGTTATGTCACCTGCACAGTCATGCCTGTGTCACTGTGCCCCCTTTTGCCATCAGGCTTGAGGACCAGCTCAAGGAGAGGTTAGTGGGAGTTTTCCACTGTGCCCTGGCCTAGAGCCTTCTGAACTTCGCTGATTTGAATCAGAGATGTGAGCAATAGATAGCGGAGCAGGAGAACATGCCCTGCCCTGGCACCAGCTGAACCATGGGGCAGGAGGGTGTGGGGCATGGAAACAGTACCTTCAGCTGGGCAAACAGTTGTTGAAGCAGGATGTCAAAGGCGCTGTTTTCAATATCACTAAGAGCGCTGAGGATATCGGCTCTATTGTCGTCATCTTCTGCTATGTTTTTCTCTGTGTATTCTCTGCAAGGAAATATCAGCAAGGTCAGAATATCCTCAAATGATAGAGAAATTCAGAGGTCTCCAAACCTTCCTCTGCAGGCAGATGGATCTATCTCTGCCCACTCTGAAGTACCTCCCCTCTATCACACTATTATATGTTGCCTGCAGAGGAAGGAGAAAACTTTTTCTTTTGGACCCTTACCTAAAATTCCAGCAGTTGTTTATATTTGCAATCAGTATAGGCTTGTAGTGTGTGTGCTTCTTACTTTTCTCCTTAAAGTCTTCAAAAGCATCCCTGTAGCTGGAGGGGAGATGGGAAGAGGAGAGGTGGGTGAGTGCGTGCCCGGGTGTCTCTGCCAGCCCCGCTGCCCACGGCTGCCTTACCGCACCTCCTCAGGAAGGCAGGCAGCTCCTTCAACAGGCGCTGAGACAGCTCCTCCCCTACAGCGCTGCTGATGTCCTGGGCTCGCTTCTGGCCACTGTAGATGCTCTAAAAAACGAAGGAACAAGCAAGACCCATATTAAACGCTGCCTGCTCTGGAAAAGCCAGGTTGGCTGGTCAAAGAGGCTGCAGATCCTTAACTGAGGTAACTGTACCCAGTACTCCCGCATCAACCCCTGTGACTGAGCCAGGGACCGTACAGAGCAGCTATACTTAGTGGGTTCAAGCTGGTTTTGAACTTCATTTTCAAATGAGGAGAGACATAGAAGAAAGAAGCATGAAAGAAACTCTGTAAAGTAGCTGAGGAAGTAGGGAAAGTGACACTTGCTTATTTTCTTTTTTTTTTCTTTTTTGAATGTCATATGATGTCATTAAAATACAATTTAATCACAAAAACCTCATCATATGAAAGGTTTATTTTTTTAAAAATACGCTTGACTAATTATCTGCAGGCAGAGGAGGGAGAGCGCTGAGCTTGGAAAAGGGCAGCTCTGCCTGTGACAGTCTCCCTGAGAGCAAGGAACTTGCTTGGCAAGGAACCTCTTGTCTCTCTGCTGCTGGGGATGCAGAAGAGACTGCACAGGGAGAATGAAGGTAGTATTCCTGCTCATTTTGCCTGTAGAGGAGTTTGCCTGCAGCATGGGATAAGCTGGACCGTGGGGTTTGGGCTCCCCTGTGCCACCCATCACTGCTACTGCCCCACAGAAGGTACTTAACCTTTTGCTTTCCCATACTGACCACAGCTGGTCTCAAATCCCAAGTAGGTTAAGGATGAGATTGTTTATTTTTAAGATAGCTCTGTATTACCTGGATAACAAATATTCCTAGGAGTTCACTCTGAAAATGCCCATTTAGCTTCTCTGGTTCTTTGTCTTCTTTCCATCTTTGGATTTCTTTATCTAAACACTTGCTCAGAGAATTTTTGACAGTAACCTTTAAGGAAGAAAGAACAAAGCCTTTACCATAGCATGGATGCAGCAGCTCCTGCCTTATGCAGGTTGTACTTGCCCACCCACCTCTTGCCTGGCTCAGCAGACTTTGTCCTTGGCTCCAGCTGGGAAGTAAAGGCTCCTTGTTACAAGGTGCTTAACCCACCACTTCCAAACAGCAACAAGGACAACCCCCTCCCAATATCCACCAATGCAACAGTGAGCTGAGTATTTCAAGGTCCCTGCCCATCACCCCACCACATCAGTGGGGATTAGGAGGGCAGGGAGGGGAGCGGTGAGTAGGAAGGTTGCAGACAGCTGCACGTGCCAGAGCCTGAATTCCCCCAACCACACACTGCCTGTGTGTCACACTCAGTGCTACCTGGTTTTGCAATCCTTTTTCATGAGCACTTCTGATGCCCTACAAGCTCTGGAGAGTGAAATGAAATGCTCTCAGGTTTTCTCTGCTCTGACCCCTCTGAGTGCACACTGCAGTGAGGCTTTGGAAATGGTCTGTACAGTGTCTGGTATGTATTGCTGATATCCCAGTGCCTCACTCATGGGCTTTGCAGACCTCACACCACCTCTCCCATATGCAAACCATCACAGCTACTTCTAAACCTGGAACTTGTCTTCTCATTTTCCAGGAATTCCAGCCCCAAATGCCAAAAGCACTGAGCTGTGGGAGTACTGTAGAAGTTGCTTCTTGTTTCTATTAAGTGATACAAAAAACAGAGCCACTTTTATCATCTGCAGACCAAGAAATTCTCCGTCAAAGGAGCAGATTTTTCAAGACCAGATCTCCATGCTTTGCACTCACCCATGGTCTGGGACCTCTGCAGAGAGCAGGAGTAATTTGGGATCCTTTCGATATTACTATGAGAGGGATTAAAATTCCCTCTGGAGATTTAACAGGCAATTGGAAAGTTGCCCATAAAGATCAGTTGTTGGATTCCCCCCCCTCCACTTCCTACCATGCAGTTTACAAGAACAGAACAGTTCTTTTCTGATGGCTCCCAGGGCTAAGCAGAAGTTTGCTCTGCAAGTCCCATCTAGCAGAAAGCTGACCTGTGTCCCAAAACCAAACAAAAGCTTTTACTTCTCTCTGGAAGGGCGTGTAGGGTGTATGGCTCACAGGTGAGAACTGTGTGTGCAGGACAAGTCACAGCTTCTCCAAGAAGTCATGCGGGAGCAGTAAAGGGAAGAGGAGTTGACTGAACAGATTCTCACCTCTTCACTGTCAAGGTATTTCTTTTCAAGCTCTTTGCTCAGACTTGATGGTAAAAGGCTTCCAAGCTTAACTTTATCCAACTCCTTGGCTAAAGCATGATCTTTTCTCATATCTCTGGAAGGAAAAGAGCCAAAACAATCACATTTTCCAAGGGCAGTGTAGTTGAAGACAGCTCTTAATGCAAATCACTAACACTTTTTGAGGATATCAGTGAAAAAAAAACAGATGGAAACGTACATTGTCCTTTGTCTGGACAGGACTTGGGGGAGCTGAATATGTGCCAGGGGTGGGACCTGTGAGGGTGGAACCACAAGCAACCCTGGGAAGGGAGCCATGGTCTTTTGAATTCCTGAGCACCACTCACTGTGCTCTGGTGGGCATGGGGTACCTGAGGCAAGCAGGAGGGTCTAGCCCTTGAACATGACTTCTCTCCATCCATACAGAGACATAAGGAGATGAAAAGCTGATGTTTTGTGGCTGGCTGGGAACACAGTGGGTGGTTTCATACCCTGCTGCCATGTTCCCACCATGTGCTGGCTGAGCCAGCTGCTCCTGAGCAGCTGTGAGGAAAGAGACCTGCCAGCCTTGGGGAGCTCAGGACAACACTTGTGGGAGCTGATGTGGAAGCAGCCTCTCCTTCTGAAGCTAAAGAGAAAAACCCTGAATGTCTCCCGAGTCCCATGTTTGCACATCACCCAGCTCCACAGGGTTACACTGCCCTGCTTCCCACGCCCGGGCTGTTTCTGGTATGACACTGGAAGCTGGGGCCAGGCTGTTGTGCAACCCTCCTCCTTCTCCTCAGTGCTCCCTTTGCTGCTGGCCATGGAGAGAGGTGATCCCTCAGCGAACACCTGGATGTGACCTCTGGAAACACCCCACAAAGCAGCTGCAACCCTACCCCAGTGCTGGGCTGCACTGCTCTGGCTGAGCCCTCCTCCTCACAGCCACTGATTTCCAAACACATGCTGGTTCAGGCCTGAATATCCTGACCTAAAGCATAACACCGGCTCTGGAAAACTTCCAGGATCAACACTGACTCATTATATTCTATCAGTGAAAAAAAAATAGAGGTGAAGGTTGAATGACTTCAGAATAGAAGAAACATTTCTGATTTTCACCTAAGAAATAAGAGTCCTCAATTCTCCATCCAGTACTGTAAGCCACAACAAGGAATACTTTCAATTCTGTAACATACAGGGTTTGTGAGGATGAAGGGTGACCCTTGGCTGATGATGTCCTCTCTCAGGGGTGCATGCCTGAGTCTCCTAACTGGGAGGAGAGCATAGACTATGGGTAACACCTAAGCAACGTCCTCCATGCCCAGGATAAGTGCATCTCAGGTTGTTCAATTTACTACCTTCCCTGTGGTCCAGAGAGCTGAAATTTCCGGATTTTCTAAGAGTGAGTTCAAATGTGCAACTAGAATAGATATCAAGGCAATCAACCTGACCAATTTACCCCACAAGTAACACTCTAAACATCCGTGTATGTTGCCCAGAAGCCTGTAGGGTGGGATTAGCCCTTCAGTTACAGACTAGCAGTCTTGAGTGTGCCCCTTCCAGGTGTCCTGCCAGCTAGTGTAAATCAGCACATCACCAGTGATATCAGAACCTAGCCAGGTACTGGACTGCCTCACAGTGATACTAATCCATAAATCAAGCAAATGTCTGGTTTTGCAGCCAGTGAACCTATGTTGGGATAAACATGTGTAAAAGTCTCACTTACTTTGGATAAAAGTTGTGCACCCATGAGAGAAGAAGGTAAATATCCTTGTCTTCCAGATGAGATTCAGCACTTTTCTTTGCGTGGGAGGCAAAATAATTGTGGTAGAATTCTGCATATATGCTGAACACATTAAACTCGGGAGGATAAAGCTGCTTAATGTACTTTACAACCACTGTCAGATCTTCTTTCATTGTCTTTCCCATGTGCAGGAGGTTTTGGCCAACTGCAGAGAGGTTCTCATTTATAGGAGTACGGCTTGTGTCTTTCATTCGAGCCTCTACAGACTCCTTTACTGTAGCCATCCAAAGCTCTTTCCATTTTCTAGGTCTAAATTGCGTATTTTGGTCAGGTGGATTCTCTGACATGTAGTTCTGATCTTCTCTCTCCTGCTCTTTCAGAGCCTCCACTGCCTGCTGCAGCAGGTCTGGGTTTGTTTTCGCTAGCAGCATGGAGTCTTTCAAGACACTGAAGACTTTGTGCTTCAGAATTTCGTAGACAGACTCAATATCTTCCTGACTGGTGTTCAGCCCCTCCTCACTTTTGCTAGATAGGCTCTTCTCCAGGACAATCAGATGCTGAGTGGCATCACAAAGCTTTTGCTCTCCAAGGAGAACCATGACTTGTTTGACTGGTGAAAAAAGAACAGCCTTTCTTTAGCCATGAGTGAAAACTTAAATTTCTGTTTTATAAAAAAATATAGTTCTGGAATATTTTTTTATAAATGCTTATATTTCTAAAATGCTAGATCTTGGGCTCCTTCACCATACAGAGAATCTGTTTATTTAAAGATCAGATTATTCCTAGCTTGCTTTTAACTGGGGCAATGGCAATTTGAATACCCATCACCAGTGTGTTGCACACGGAGAGCTATTCATGAGCTACCTATAATTTTTTCCAGAATTTAGCTTTGTGAAAACATTTATTTATTGATTGATTGATTGATTATCCCCTTCCCATTAATATGATCTCCAGTCAGAAGCATGGCTTTAGAAAAAATGTAGATGGAAAGATGCAGCTAAATAAGGTGTGCTAGAGGAAATACCACATGGGTTTTCCAGAAATAGATTGGCACAACTTGACCTGTGAAATTGTTTTGAAGGACACATTTAGCGGGCAAGATAAATACAGTTGAAGTGTCTTATCTGAGCTACAGCCATTTGCTTGAGACAATCCGATCTGGGAAATTATTTGTTACACTGGAGAAATGTTATCCCAAAATAAGTTTTGTTAGGTGTGTAAAATTAGCATGGAGGACCCTGGGTGGAGAAAGCTTACATGATCCATGAAACTTGTATTACTTCATATTGTCATTAGAGGCTGTGGCACAAAAGCTGGGAGTGTCCTATTGGCATCTTCTGATTACACAGAGACATTATCGAAACTGAGGGCTTGGCACATTTTACAGGAACAATGGGATAACTTGAATAGCAAATGGGCTGAAATTTAATAACACAAATTACAAGATACAAATCCAATAGAACAAAAGTTACTTAGCAACAAATAGGATTTTCTGCTTCAAGCTGAATGTGAATCAGCTTGAGATGGAGGAGGAAGAGAGATGCCTGGAGAATTTGTAACTTGTTACTGGGAAGGGATGGTGAAAATGTCAGTTATGACCCCAGGATGAATCCAGTGAGGAATACCCAGCTGAGACAGGAAAATGGTAACATATTGTACCAGGCGTTGGTGGTACCTTATCTGAAATATTTTCTGCAGTTCTGGTTGCAGACACTCGGAATGGGGCAATGCTGTGATAAGAACAAAGGCACAAAAGGCCTGTTTTCAGCAGCAAATTCAAGGCCAAGAAGGAAAACCACCAGTTAGGGAAAACGTTTAACACGTGGAGGAGAGACCAATTCGACAGGTAAAGGCTTGTCTGGAAATGAGATAATTTGTACTAAACCAATAAGACTTTGTAAGACCCCCACAATAAAGAAGGCAGTGCTACAAAATGAACTTAAGGTACAGTTTGCAAAGTTTATGAATGAGGTAACAAGGGACAGTTTCCTCTCCAATTCTGTATTTCTCTAAGCAGGTATTTCAGTGCCTCCCCAAGCATCCTGCAGGACCAGTGCCTGCAATTGGAGAAGCTCTATGTTCGTATATCAATCCCAGGAAAGACCTAGATTTGATGCTTACTCCTGTCCCTGGAAGAAGAGGAGACTGGGAGAGCAGAGGGGTTGTAAATAGATGGATCTTTAAGGTCCCTTCCAATCCAAACCATTCTGGGATTTCACAGGGTGGTGGTTTCATGGAGAAACAGGGTTGAGAGATACGCCTTGGTTTCTCATCCACCCTCAGAATTCTGTGCCCCCATGAAAAGTAGAAACAAGTTTTGGACACAAAACCTGCAAACTGACAGTTCCCAGTGGGCTGTGCCCTTGGTACCAAAGGTCTACAACTGGAAGTCCTGTCTCCCTCAGCCCATGTTTTCCCAGGCTTCTTGGAAAAGTCGCTTTAATCTATCGGTGCCCTTGCTTCTCTAGAGGACAATTCTCCACATTGTCCAGCCCCTCTAGAAGTAACTATGGCCCTTGAAGTGGCACAAGGAGGATGGAAGAGCACTTACCACTGGGTGGCTTGGTCTTTTTAATTTTCTTAAATGCACTTCTTAGGATTCCTGTTATTCCTCTTCCCTTTTCAGGGCTGTCTCCAGCAGAGATACAACTCTCATTGCTCGTGATGGAAGAGGCACGTGAAGCTCTGGAGGCTGCCTCTGGCCTTTCACTGATCTTCTCCTGGTTCCTGGACCAGATCTCATCTACAGAAGGTTCAGAACAGGCAGGGACTTGCTCAGCAACTGATGCAGAAGGGTTTTCAAACTGCCCATTTGGACCAATGCAACCCTCTGATCCACGGCGTATTCCAATGGGACCATTTTGAAAAAAGGGTAACATTTTCATCATTTTTCTCCTAACCTGTAAATTTCAGAAAAAGAGTTGATCAGATTATAACAGTTAGCCAGCAAAATTCCATGGAACAATGTGGCAAGGCATACATGTGGGCAGTGTGGAGAACGCTGCACATCTGGAACGACACAGCTCTGCAGGGGAGCTCCTGAGCAATGTCACCCCGGGTAACTGAGAGAATGGAAGCAGCTCTCTGGTCTAATAAAGAACCTAGAGAAAATCAAAGAGTCATTTTAAGGGTGATTCAGATGGCCTCATTTGAAACCTTGAGCTTGTAAGGATACAGGAGAGCAGAGCTTTCCACAGCTATGGACGAGAGCATGGATACTGCACGTGGATGGGCAGGACAAGTGTCCTGTGCCTCTTCAGAGCAACCACAAAACTCTCATACTGTTATATGGCATTGGCATCAATTCCTACCTTCCTCAGGGCCTTTTTTTGCTGATCTCTGCTAAGGGAAAACAGGAACAAGGCATGAGGATCAGGGTGGTTTAGCCTTGTTCAAACAGACATTATCCTGCCATTGTCCTACTCTAACACCAACACTCCTGCACTACAAATAATTAATAACAGGAATTTTTTATTGTTATAGCATAATTTCAGAATTCATAGTTTGAGTTATTTATTTTCCTTTATAATTTAATATATTGCTAAATATTTATTTGCACAACTATAACAATTCGAATAATGATTATAATTATGTAATTATTGCAAATAAATAAACTGACTCATAGTTTCCAATCCTTATTCTAATAACATTCTAATAAATAAAGTGACTTTCTAGGAGACCAGAACACTGTATGGAGAACTCTCAGGCAAGAAAGTTTGGGCTTACTTGTACTGAGTAAGAGCAGAAGAATTAGGCTTTAATAAAGGGGGAATTTGGCTTCAGTTAAAAGGCCACAAAATGGTGATCTTCAAATACCCTGGCATCGCTTGAGAGCTTTCCTTCTCCCCGCTTTGGATGCCAGGTCATGTTCAGGATTAGTAATGCTATTGCCTTTAAAATGGAACAAAGATGAAACCTCATTTGGGAAGGAGATTAAGGGGGAGTAGTGTGCAAGATCTGGGTGGTTCTCAGCTAAACTGGTTGTCTGTGACCTGCAGCAGAGCGAAAAGCTAAACTTCAGGTGCTGCTATGGACAGGTGGGATGACAGGGGCTGCCAGAGGCATCAGGTTTCGGTGTCAGGTGGCTGCTCAGCAGAGCCCTCATGCTCCAGGGCCAGTTGAATGAACAAGGAAAGGGGGCTTGAGCACCAGAGCTCCGCAGACACAAATTATAGAATATTCTATGTTAGGAAGGACCCACAGAGATCATCAATTCCAGTTTTCAAGTGAATGGCCCATACAGGGATTGAACCACATCCCAGGCATGATTAGCACCACACTTTAACCAACTGAGCTAATCTCAGTGTGCCAGCAGCAGTGTGCCATGGCTGAAGCTGTGCTCAACACATATATTGAGAAGGGGGGAAGGGAGGAAACCCCCTGCATTTCACTCCAGGATGCCCCACTGGAATCCTAGACACAGTGGAAAAGAGCTCTTTTTTGACACAGTTCCACTGGGGAAAAAAAAATCATCGTGGTAAGAGGGATGCTCTGTAAGTGATTTGGGCTTGCTTAGCTTTTGTAGGGCTCTTTTCCCCGCCAGCATTTCCCAATACAACACTGTGTTTAGATTATTTTTGCCAAATCCCTTCCTTCCTGTTTTTCAAGCACAGGCTCAGCTGAGTTTTTTGTCTGTCTCCTATTATTTCAAACAAAGCATTTATTTTTCTTTTATATTTGTTTTCTAACCAAAGAAAGTACCTCTCCCTTTCCAAAAGCCTAAGGTCTTTTGAAGAGTGATGACCAGAAAGGAGGATTTCAAAACACCTTTGGCTCTTCTTCAATGCCAAGGTGAATGCAAGGTATCTTTGAAAATCACTTAAGTGACACTACACAAAAGAGAGACTGTAACAGAAAAATTAAGCTGGTTAAAACTTTTTAACATCTGTCAGAACTTTGTCCTGGTAAAGATCTGAAAGAGAGAGCCTTAAACATCTAAGTAAGGCTGTCGATGCAATAGCTGCCACGCTCACTCCCATTTGGCCAGCTTGAATGCTTGCCCAGTGATTATCAGTGTGCCACTGCTGGTTGGCCTGTGTTTGTATCTGCACCAGGAAATACCAGCAGTAAACCTCAGCTCCCACTTTTGCCTTGAAATGCAGCCTCAGCCTTAACGGCAAGTATCAAAAACTCCTCCCTCCATCTCTTCTCTTTATTGTTAGATAGCCATGCACTTACTGTAAGAAACATCTATAAGAAACTTCCTATAGGAAACTTTCTTATGGAAGAAAACCCCACAGTTTCTACAAAAAATACTCAGATAAAAGGAGTTGGTGCTTGTTACATCTGGGGGCCACAGGCAGGAAATGCTGTGTTAGCACTGCACCTTCTGCCTCCATCAGCATCTGCTCCTGCTCTCTGTGGCAGTCAGGACACACCAGGAACTTGGCTCTGGATCAGAGGGCCACGGGCCGCTCCTCTGTGCCTGTGTTCTGCTCTCAAATCAAAGACTGTTAAAACTCCAGCAAGCTCCTAACTCTTTAGCAGTTAACACCAGGGAAATGCTGAATCACCTCCCAGGCACAGAGCTCCAATTCAAGTCTTGGGAAATGTGATGATTTAAGGTCAAGAGTTGACATTGTTCCCAACTTACTATTATTATTAATTTACTGTTATCATCATCATTATCCCCATAATTGTTATGTGGCACTATGGTTTGTGCCAGGGGAGTCTTTAGCTCCAATTATTTTTGACATAGTATATTCAGCTTACAGTTTCCAGCCAGAAGAGTAGTACAGCTCACACAGTATCCTCTGCCACGCTGTACAGAGGTCCTGCAGCATCAGAACTGTGGTGCTGTGATCGCTGGTGTAGCTGCAGTGGGATAGAGTGAGCTCTTCCCAGGATGCTGATCACAGCACGTACCTCTGAGCTGGAGCTTTTCTGGTGTGGGCAGCAAGGAAAATGGAAACTCTTGAAGCACAGCCATGACATAGAAGGACCCAGGCCAGACTCTTGGCACAGTGGCTTCCCATTTTCTCCTTTTCCTCCACAAAGGACATAGCTTTCATGCAGCACACTCGGGAACGAGTTCATTCATGAGGGGCGGTTCATGCCATGCCAGAGAGACTTGGGGAAGAGACTGACTAATTACCCCTACTCTGAAATTTTTTGCTGATCCCTTTTTTTTTCTTTTTTTTTTTTTTTTAAACTTCTTTTTCCTGAGCTGCTGCCAGTATTAACAAACATTTGTTTAGATTTTTGGTCCTCTGAAGAGGACTGACATCCTAGGTCAGAAGGATTTATCTCTCATTTTAGTGGAAATTCCCCACTCTCCCAGAGCCTCTCAGAAATCCAGAGTTATTTAACAAAGTTTATTCTCTGCATTTGCATCAGCCATTCCTCCCCCACCCGTTCCCTGTGGAAGTGGGGTCACTCCTGCCCACACAAGAAATTTTCACGGGGTCAAGGCATGTTTTGAAACAGCAGAGTGGTGCAGACACTGAGTTTAGGGAACCTCAGACTACGTGGTGACTCCTAAATAAGCTGATAATTACTCAAAGCGAAGAGTATATGTAGATGCCAGCCCCAATCTTTGCAAGCTGGGAAGCTCTCCTAGGAGGTGGGGTTCTTTCCTACAATTTTGGGTAGGTGGATTAAATATTGAGTGGACGCACCACTAGCTTCCACTTGGTTCTGACTGGGAAATCACAGTCTATAAACAAGCTGGGCCACACAGAGCCCCCCCCTGACACTTCACTGTGCTGCTCACATTCATGCTCCTGCCTGCAGACCCCTGTGAGACACCCACCACACAATGTGGTCCAGCACCATCCTGATGGTAGCCATGCTCTGCTTTTAGTGGAGTCAAAAGCTGAGGGGGAATAAAACTTATGTCTCCAGTAAAGAAGCCAAGGCAGGAGCAGAGCCTTCCCAGGGGACTCAGTCCATGTGCCTCAGCAGTTCTGGGGATCCCCATAGTGTTGGGGGTGATGAAGGACTCAGAGCAATGGCAGCGGCAGAGCTGGGAGAGGATTCCACAGCATCTCACCTGGCCTGAGATGCTTTAAATCAGCATTAAACTTCTTACCATCTATCTGGGCAATAGTATAGATATAGCTATGCAGTGCCTAAGTAATTTTTAAATGAGAATTTTGTTTCCCTAAATTACTGAAGCACAACTGAAAATGGTCCTGTAAACCAGCATCTCCTGTTGTGAGAATTTTTCAAATACAGAAAGATAAAATTATACAGATATTGTTATTGAGAAGAAGCAGAGAGAATGCACTGTAATATGCTCCTTTTTCATCTTGCTTCAAATCTGGGCAGCATCGTTTTAAACTGTTGGTTCTGAAAGAGAAACCAGCTGCTGCTGTCTGGAATTTTGTTTTCATATTACGGTTCCCAAAGCCAAACCCTGCTTTCAGACCTGGAGGTGGCAAAGTTCACTACTTGAGCTAAGAGCATCTGAGAAGAAACACACATATTATTCCCCAGGAGCCTCTCTCAGCACTTTCAAATTCTTTGGCTTTTCAGACATCTGTTTATAGAGAGCACGAGTGAAGCAAACCCAAACCTGAGTTTTCCAAAGCTCTCTGCTCCCATTTGATTGGTTCAATTGGAACTGACAAGCCTCAAAGTCCTTTGGTGGGGACAGGCAGCTGAATGCTTTGGAGAATGAGGGTTTCTTCAGGTTTTCTGGTCTGAACTTGGGTGTGATGGCGAGGGACCGTGGCTTCTAGATCAGCCATATGCTCCAGCCACAGAAAGCCTCTTCCTTAATTTGCAGTGGCCTCAAAAAGAAATCCTTCTTTAAACACACCTAGGATCCTAACCCCGGGTTTGAACCTTTCAATTTGTGCCCGAGGAGCTGACACAGTGGATATGGGGCTCCTGCCTAAGGATAGAAGGGAATTTTGCCAGGTTTTTCAGTGGTCAGGGAAAGGGCAGGTCCTAGGGGCAGTGGTACTTCCCTGACTAGGAAAAACTACAGTCGCAAAATTGAAAGCATGGCAATGCAGAAATGTGCCAGTTTAGCACACTGACCCTGGCAAGGTGCAGACCACGCAGGCTGCCTTGGACTATCCAGGATTCAGGCACCAAAATGGTGCTTTTCCATTGCAGCCAGGCTGAGCGATTCATAATCCAATTACTTTTCTGTTGTTTTGGAGAAAACCACTGCCTTTGAACGAAGAGCAGAAGCTGGGAAATGCCACGCTGGATCCAGATCCCAGTGCCTGATCTGGGTTTAGGATGTCTTGGAGTCCAAGACCTACATCCAGATTTTGGGGAAGGAGTTGGAGCTGGGGGGAGTTACAGTAGTCACCGCTTGCAGCCTGTGCCCTGAAATTTTGGGGAGAAGCAACAGAAATCAGACCCAGCTGTCAAAACGGAATTGCCAGACACATGCCCTTGCGGTGCCTAGCTCTGGGGTGTGCCTGGAGCTGCTGTCCTTCTCACAGCGGTCCGACTTATTCTCCACTCCGCTAACTACCCGGTGAGACTGAAACCTGTTGCTGTGTCCGGGGACCCAGCCTTTAGCACCTGTCACTTGTTCCCCTCCTCTCAGGAACGGCAGAGAGCCCCGGAGCTCCCCAGACTCGCAGCAGGCAAGCTCGGAGCCGGGCACCGGCTCAGGAGAAGCGGGAGACACAGGGAAAGGGAAAGGGAAAGATCCGAGTTCCGGGCAGTCGGCACGAAGCACTTACTCTGCGGCGGCTCCCGGGCGGCGGCGGGGCTGGATGCGGGGCTGGATGCGGGGCTGAAGTCACCAGTACTGTCAGCGGAGCTGGCAGCGGAGCCGGGGCAGCCCGGCTATAAGGGCTTGGGGCGGGACTGAGCGGGAAATCCCGGGTACGCCCCTCCCCGGCCCGTGGATCGAGCCAAAGGGAACCGAAAAATCCCCTCCGATGGGGAAAGTGACACGGACGGGGGGTCGCTGTCCCCAGGGGTTGGTCTCTGCAGAGGAACTGACCCCCGGCGCCTTGTCCTGACAGACCGATGATTGAGGCACTGGCACCTTGGGCTCCCTGCCCCGAGGGCTTTGTCTGTGCGATGTGTCCCGTTGTAGGCTTGGAAACTCCCCATTCGGGATGGAGCAGGTGCCACCGAACATACCATATTCTGTATCTGGGATGGTCAACCCTGGATGTATAGACTGGGGAATGAGGAAAGGAACCTGGGGGTCCTGGTCAATGACAAGTCAAATATGAGTCAGCAGTGCCCTGGCAGCCAGGAGGGCCAACCGTGCCCTTGTGGGCATTAGGCGAAGCATCACCAGCTGGTGGAGGGAGGGGATTGTCCCACTCTGCTCTGCACTAGGACAGCCTCACCTTGAATATTGTGGCAGTTTTGGGCACCACAATATAAGAAAGACATTAAGCTATCAGAGAGCGTCCAAAGGAGGGCAACAAAGATGGTGAAGGGCCTTGAAGGGAAGTTGTATGAAGAGTAGCTGATGTCACTTGGCTTGTTCAGCCTGGAGAAGAGGACACCGAGGGAGACCTCGTCATGGTCTGCAGTCTCCTCACAAAGTGGAGGAGCAGGGACAGATCTCTTCTCTCTGGTGACCAGTGATAGAACCTGAGGGAATGACATGAAGTTGTGTCAGGGGAGGTTTAGATTGGATATAAGGGAAAGGTTCTTCACCCAGATAGGGCACTGCAACAGGCTCCCTTGGGAAGTGATCATGGCATCAAGCCTGCCAAATCTCAAGAAGCCTTTGGACAATGCTCTCAGACACATGGTGTGGCTTTTGAGGTTGTCTAGTGCAGAACCAGCTGTTGGACTTGATGATCCCTATAGGTCCCTTCTAACTCTGGATATTCTTTGATTCTGTGAAAGCTTTGCTCCTTGAGCAGGGCATTGCCTGCCACCAGCAGGCTGGTGGGGATGAGGTGTGTGCCTGAAAGTTCAGCTGCTTGTATCTGGGCCCTGCACTGTGCCCACAGTGAAGCACCTTCCCCAGAGCAGGGCTCACACCACTCCCAGGAGATATTATTCTTCTCCAGAACTTTCAGCACTGTGTACTGAAGGTACTGGGAGATACTGGCTTCCTTCCTCACCCTAAAGTCTCCCAAACTCAGTCTTCCACTTGTGGATGCGTGACCTTACTGAACCTGTCAGTACTTGAAGGAGACAAACATTTCAGCAGGGCCTTGTGATAGGACAAGGAGTAATGGTTTTTAACTGAAGAAGGGGCAATTTAGATTATAGACAAGGTAGACATGTTTTATGATGAGGGTGGTAAAACACTGGTTGCCCAGAGAGGTGATAGTTGCTCCATCCCTGGATACATTCGAGGTCAAGTTGAACAGGACTCCAAGCAACATGATCTAGTTGAAGATGTTCCAGCTCAGTGCAGGGGGTTTAGACTAGCTGACCTTTAAAGGTGTCTTTCAACACAAACTACTCTATGATTCTGTGGTTTGTTTTCCTGATTTCTCTTCTTGATGTCTAGAAACCTCCATCCCTGGCCATGGAACTGTGCTGAGCCTGTTACACTGTGGAAGTTGTGTGCTGCCACAGCAGGGATGGTTGGAGGGCAGCCAGGGGATGTCTGGGTGACAGCAATGGTTGTGTGGGGCTATTGCAGAGGGTCTGTGGAGGCTGTAAGGGCTGTGCTGTCCCTTGCTTAGCCTTAATGTGAAGCATCTTCAGAAAACATCTGGATGAGATCTGGGCTGAAACAGCTGCCCTGAAGGCACAAAATCAAAATATTGTGGTCCTGCAGAGCCTACCTCCTCCCTCCTTTTCTGGGAAGCTGCAGTGGGGCAGGGAGTGGGTCAGGTAGCAGGTCCAAGAGCCTGGTTACTGTGCTTGGGGTGATTTCTCTTTTACATTGGACAGTTGTGGTCTAATGAAAAATGCAAAAAAAGTGGTCCTGAGATTTAAAGCTGAGTGTGAACCCTGAGCTTTCCTGGTGCTGCTGATGCCCCCACCTGTGTAGCTGCACAACTTCCCCAATTTTGGAGGGGATATAAATCCATGCAGGTTCAGCATGGGGACATCCACCAGAAGCAGACATGGTCTGAGACCAGTGTTTGTGCTGGAAGGAGGCGCCCAGTTGAGCTGGCACAGTGCTGGAGAGCAGATGCTTCCTGCCCACTGGGCCTGCGTCCTGCCCACTGGGGCTGCTGCTTTCTTCTCAGGGACTCTTTTCCCTAAAAGTCCATAGTAACAGGGAAAAACCTCACCCTCAACAATGTCTGCCAAAACAGGAAGCAGAAACAGAGGGGCCGCCCTGATGGGCAAACCCATGATCTCCGGTCTCTGGAAAACACTGATTCATCTCAGGCCAGCCTTTGGCTGAGCTGGGCCGAGGGTTCCCCTCCGGGATTGCCCCAGGGTTGGGTTCCCTTACTAATTGACAACAAGTGACCTGAAACAACCATTGTCATGGGACAGAAATGCCGGGTTGCCACGTTGGTCTGAAAAATCATTGGAAACATGAAACAGCACGAGATTTGGTCCCGGAGTGCAGTAATTTTCTCTGTGCTTCATCACCTCCTCCAATGCCAATGTGAAGGGGAGAGAAGGAGGCAAGGTTTGATATCTGCAGTTAGAGCCAGTTTGGGGGCAGCACAGTGCAGCTGGAGGTGAGATTGGTGCTGCATCCAATGACCTTTTTGTGCAGGAGGCTGAGGGATGTGGTCCCTGGGAGGCACCAGGGAGGCTGGTGTGGTCCGAGGGTTCCACACACACGTAGCTCTGGGCATGGCTGGAAAGGCAGTGTTTGTGACTGTCTGAAAGCAGAGGATGCTGTTCTGGATGCAAGGAGGACCTGGGGCTGGTTCACTGCTCACATCCTCAGTTATGTGATCCCAGGTGTGCTGTGAATCTGCATCAGGAAGTGGCTCAAGGACAAGTGTCTCAGACACACTGAAACCTCTCTTGAAATATTCGGGTGGTCTTTGCATTTGTTTCAGACCAGTGTCTCATCCCCAGCTTAGCACCGGAGGCCCTGACTGTAGAAGACTCCTGCAGCAAGCAATATGGGAAAGCCCAAGGGAGTCTGACGCTCAGCTGGTGTTAGCAAATGTAGCTGCAAATCTGTGGGCATCTTGTGTTGTTTTCTTGGATAAATGTTTGTATGAAATGATTTATGTGAGATCCAAATTAGATTCATGTAGTGGGCTCTGTTGCTGGGCCTCACCTTTATCTGCTGTAAGTAAACTTCACTGGGGTCAGGGCAATTCAACCAGCAGACAGGGGAACAAAGAGCATCTTGTAACCGGCTCTTAAATTAAAAACCTAGAGTTTAGGTGGCATCCTCTGGGTGCCCCTATTTACGCAAACCAAACCTATCCCTGCACTTGGACCTTCTGCTGATACACCAGCCTGACATTGCTTATCTATATACCCTCATTTCTGAGACAGGCATCTTGTATCTACCTAAATAATGTTGGGTAGTGAGTAACCAAGTTATACTGGGCTGCACATCTTCTAGTGCTGCGCAGGAATTTTTCTGTGCTCTGGAACTACTCATATGTATTGCATAGGGCTACACTGATACTCTGTGTTTATAGTTTGTGTCATCTAAGGAGCTATCTAAAGTCTGCAAATTTGAGGAATCGAATTTTATGCTTGACTTTCCCAATGTATGTGATATATTTCTCAGTGGCAATTTACACTTATAAGCAAGATGTACTTCAGAGATTTGTAACTTAGTTTTGCAGATGCTTCCCTAAATTTGAACATCGAACTTGCATGGGATCATTCCCATTTTCTATATTCAGCATCGAAGTCAATCTCAGTAGCAATCCTAATATCCAAATTTAGCTGAGCAGGAGCCTACAGATAGGATATGTCTCTACTAAAAAAACAGCTGTGAATTCTTTGCACTAGACAGTGAAATGTTTCCTTACCTGTAAAAATGAAGATGCAATAAACAAGTGTTGATAGGGAGATTATTTTTCAAGTGCAGTCCTAATTTCTTCTTTCATGATGCTGAAAAGCTGTTGTCCTCATTGCCAGCTGAAGGTGTGTCAAGAAGCAGATCATTATGAGGGTAAAGCTTTTCTTTCTGGAATCTATTAATTCAATATGCTTATTCATTGAGTGGTATTTGAGATTTTTGTTCAAACTTGTTTTCATTACCTTTATTACCGGACAGGAAAACTACCAGTTTTCTTGTGGGACTTTCCTTGAGCTCAACTCATTTGTACTAAGTAATTCCAATTGTGCATGTTTCAGGGTAGAAAAGCAGCAGTTTTGGGTGCAGATGGCTGGCAGCAACCCTCTGGGTAAGCAGACACTACCCTGCCACCTATTGCTGGGAATATGGGGGCCACCTCCTGGAGCTGGGGGGCGCACAAGCCCAAGCAGAGGTTGCCTGAGTTAGTGCTTGAGAGAGTCAGAAAATGCTCTCAGCGTGTGGGTTAGACTGGAAAACCAGGGTCATGTAGATCCAGCAGCCAGACTTCTGGCTCTGTTTTCTTCCTCTCCAAGTAGTTTCCAGGTCCCTTTGAGGGAGGTTGATGTCAGAGGTCTGACCTGCTGCAAAGCAGGTAGCTTCAAAAGTGTGAACTCATTTGAGAACTTTACTATTAGTGGTACCAACCCCACATGATGATACTTTTGCCCTCTCTAGTCACATCTGAACCAAGCTAAAGGCAGAGAGCTCTCCCAGTTTTGGTTGTTTTTGGCACTGGAGATCCTACATGTCTGAGTAATAAGGCAGGAGTTCAAACCTGACAGGAATGTCCTAAATCTTCATTGAAGGAAGGGCTTGTATGCAAGCATGGTCTGCATCCCCAT